TTGGACCATAACAGAGATCCGAACCCGAGTCTCATGGTCAGAAGGCAAACGTTCTAACCACGTGCCCATTCCCTTCATCGTAATATACAACTTTGGATTATGATATAAATAGAATTCAAAATGTCAGAAAAATATAAAATAGAATATAAATATAAATTTCAGTAATTGTTACGTTGACTGAAAAGGTTTCTGATTGGGAATTTTGAGGAATACGGAACCAAATCTTAATTGCTGTTTTTCTCAGATTCACTCTGTTCCGGAGTGTTAGCACGTGTTAGGATCCTGGCTATGGGCAAATAGTTAACCCCACAAACTATGGAAGTATAAAGATACATTTACATGTCTAAAAAAATACCAGCAATACAGAGTGTGATTGTTAAATTATCGCTGTTTTATATTTTTAATATCGCTTCATGTGCGTTGCTATTTTTTTTTATTTTGTCCACTGTACAGTGCAGTAGGGTCAGTTGGGCACCGTCTCTGAGAAAAAGAGCAGCATGACCCAATTCACCCCGCCAGAAATTTGGAAAAGACATGCTGTACTGCTTAGCATTCGCACCGGAAGCTCCAATATGAACATTTTAGTGTTTGGTTGTCAATCTGAGGACAGTGCAACAGATTTGGAAAGAGTTGGATGATATATCCAGTCGACCTTATGGTGTTTGTAGTGATCATATTTGCTGGCTACGTTATGCCTCGATTCATCTTCCCACAGGGCCATAAAACTCAACACAGAGACCTTGGTGTGGTAGTGCTTCCCAAGCACAAGAGGGTGGCTCTTAGATGATCCTATGTCTGACCACAGGACTCTGTACCATGTCACACAAGCAGGAGAACGAAGTCATCACCCCTTGAAACTGGACACCTAATTCCCCAGACTGCAACTCCCTTGATTATTATGTGTGGGGTGCAGTTGAGTGAGAGGCCAACAAAAATAAACTTTTAACAACAAAGATGAATTGAAGGCAAGGATTATAACAGCAGTCATCATCTTAAACAAGGAGGACCGTCCAGAAGAGATGCAGGAGATTCCGAATCGTCTGTAGTTTAAGCCAATGGCGATTTTATTGAATAAATTTTCTCTTTTCTATTTTAAGATATTTTTGTCTAATTTTGGTAAATATATCTGTTAAAATGAGATGTCAGTGTTATTTTCATGAGATTGGTTAGTTGGAAGCTTTTGTTTAGCAGCATATCAGCTTCTAAGGGTTATTTCATGTTGAAATCTAAATATTTTGAACACAATTTTATGGCTTCAACTACAGATAAAATGTATTTTGGTCATTTCGTTACAAAATGTATTGTTGGTAATTCTATCATAAAATATATTCTTGGTCATTTTGCATTAAAAAAAGTATTGTTAATTTTAACTGTATTTAGTTTTTGCTGGAATATTCACCCTAAAAATTTATTTTTATACTTTCATACATTATTTTTATTTTTTGCGTGTTCACTAATTGTGCATAATTGGGACCTTAACACCTGCTATCCATATTGGGCAGGGTGGATCTAGGAACAAAAGCAATTAGGAGGTGGTTCCACTCTCATCAAAAACTCTAATCTCCCTACCAGAGGTCTTGATGCTGAAAGAGACTGATGTAAATTTAAGAAAGATGGCAATTTAATTATTCGGAATGAGTAATATATTTTTGTCCAACTATTATAATAATAATATATTAAAGTACAATTAAAAGGGTTATTCTAAAATTGGGCATTATTTTCCGAACAATTAAATGCTAACAATTCTAAGAATTAGTAATAACTTTTTAAAAGAATAACTGATGTACAGGGCTGTTCGATAAAAGTGACTCAACGGATTTTTTTTACTAAAAATATTTTTTGTCTATTGTTTTGGGGGTTAACATAATTTTTAATCTTACTAATATAAAGACCCCTTCCCGACCATCTAGGAAAAAGTTTATTCACCCTAAGGTATTCTATTGATAATTATAAATTTGGATATAAATAAGATTCAGGAAAAAACTCTGTGCAAGAAAAAATGACTCAGATATTGCATTCTAATGATTAAACTGGAAAATTTAAAGAGCTTTTGATAAAATATTGAAAACAAATTTACAATACACTTAGAGCAATATTCTAGAGAATTCTAGAACAGCTTAAAATAAATGTAGAGTATTCCAGAATATTCCAGAATACCTCATACAGTATAAAAACTTGAAAAAGCCACTCAGAACCACTTAAAGCATCTATTATTAACCTCTCAAAAGCAGGCAAGTCTACGAGAGCAATCAACTGTCTCTCGAGTGCTTAGGGCACATAATGATGCCACTCCTGCTCCAAGGAAGGAAACACGGGGACGAAAGAAAAAAGATTGATGAGAGAACTGGCAGGGTAATCAAGACAGAAGTTGCGAAGAATAGGTCTATAACTAACCAAAAAATTGCAGCCAGTCTAAGCGAAGAGCATGGTGTTAGTCTTGCCTCTTCAACAGTCCGTCGGTGGTTGTTAGAACAAGTCTACAGAAGTTGTACACGATAATAAGCAAAGCCAACAAAGCTAAGAGACTTGAATGGGCTCACTATTACATAAATGTCACTGTAGAAGACTGGAAGAATATTCTCTTCGATGTAACGAAAGTTGGGCTAAATTCAAAGGATAAGCGATCTAAAATCTGAAGAAGAAGCTTTGAAAGCTCTTTGAATTTAGCAGTAAGTACTGTCAAGCATCCGTTCAGTATAATGTTCTGGGGATGCTTTTCTTTTCATGGAACTGGTTTCTTAAACCATATTGAAAAGACTCTAAGGAACGAGCAGTACAAGAGAATTTTAGAGTCTTGTCTGCTTCCTTCTGCTGAAAGGGTGCAACTCGACCCTACCAAGCTCATTTCTTTTGCTCCTTGTCACAAATCAAAATTGATGAAGGAATACTTTGATGAGAAGCAGGTGAGTGTTACGACATGGCTGCCTCAATCTCCTGACGTCAACCCCATAGAAAACATAAGGAGCATTATAAAGTACAAGCTCTCGAGAAAGCAGTTGAGCAACAAAGAGGACTTGATTGTAAATTTCATATCTGAATGGAATTCAATGCTTGGAGATGAGATTTACCAGAATCTAATCAAGTCAATGCCAAAAAGGGTTGAAAAGGTTATTCAAAATAAAGGAGGACCCATAGATAATTAAATATTTCGAACTATATTACCTATTATAAATAAATTATACCTCTATTATTCTTTATTTAAAGCTGTTCGGTTATGTTTCTATTGATTACTAGTTGCAGGAAATAAGTGAGTCACTTTTTTTGTACAGAGTTTTTCCCTAAATCTACTTTATATCCAAAATTTTAATTATCAATAGAATACCTTAGGCTTTTTTTCTAGGTGGTCAGGAAGGGGTCTTTATATTAGTAAGATTAAAAAATAGTTAGACCCTAAAAACAACAGGCGAAAAAATTTTTAAATAAAAAAAACAGGTGAGTCCCTTTTATCGAACAGCACTGTAAATTAGTTAAATCACATTTCACTATCATTAGATTTTCAATGAAAAGAATCTGCTTTAATGATTATAACATTAATATCTCATTTCCACGCACGTAACAATGTTGCTTTTCTAAAAGAGGGACAAAATGGATTTTGTTCCGTTACGAAGCGTCAGAGCATATTCATTGGTATTCGTAAGTCGCTTAGTACATGGCTAACACGACCTCGAGTACTACTGCACTTGGTTAATTCATGACCTCAAGTACTGCTACACTTACTTCATGACCTCCAGTACTAGTGCCCTCGGTTACTTCAAGACCTCTAGTACTGATTCCCTTACTTCATGACAACGACTACTAATAACCTTGGTTACCTCATGTCCTCGACAACTACTAAATCGCTTAGTACATAGCTAAAATTACCTCGAGTACGGCAGCCCTTGATTACTTTCTGACCTTGAGTACAATTGTTCTTGGTTGCTTCGTGACCTCCAGTATTGCGAGTTACTTCATGGCCTCGGGTACCTTTGGTGTCTTCATGACCTCGAGTACTACTGCCCTTGGTTAATTCATGACCTCGGGTACTACTACCGTTGGTCATTTCATATAGACCTTTTAAATTATCCACTTCTGAAATGTAAATCCGACAACCGCTTACAGGCAAATATAATGCGAAATCTCCCGGGGTATATTATGCATCTATACATTGTTTTATTTCCGGGACAGTTTCCTTCTATTTTTCATCTGGAGATTTCCATTTTGCTCGTCTTATATTGTTCTCAGGTTATTCTTCTTTGTAGTGTAACATCTTCGTCGTACGTTTCAAAATACTCTTACCCCTGTTGATAACCCACAGCCATACCTTCATATGTTTCATTGTGTAGGGCCGTGTTTCGTTGTTAGTCTGCAAGATTATAACTTGGGATGCCTATGGATAGATAATCGCCCTTTTCCTCTCTTTATTCTTCTCGTTTCCGTATCTGATCTGCATGGACTTTAACTATTTTAGCCCCATGTATTGTTAAAATGGCTTTCTTTTGGATGATTTGTTTTATCAAACTGGCCCTTTGTTCGTTTCATAAATGTTCTTTACAGTTTTATCATATTAAACCGGCGGAACAAACTCTAGAAACAAGTTGTGGATTTAAGCAAATATTAAAATACCCCTGCAGTAATATTTAATTTTGTTAGAGAAATATTGCGAAATCAAAAAGTTTTTCACTTGATTTGAAATTAGTTAAGCATAAGATTTGTTTTAACCTTTCTGTTTTTTCATTTTTTTTTTTTTTTGGCGGGAGGAATTACCCAAAGAATTAAATGTGGTTTAGTCTATGTTTGCTTGTGTAAGCTGATCGTTTGTATGTTACCTGGGGAATTAAGAAAAGAAGCGGGTCATTCTTTGACTTAAGAAAGTGCGGGGAATATTTGGACAATGGTAATGTTGTTTGCAACACAGAAACAAAAACAGAAATGGCAAGATTAGGCGCCGACTCATCAGCCGCTTGTTCCACAGACGGCGCACTGTTTGAGCTTTTGTACATTGAAGCAAATTGGAAAGGGAGATGTTTCTCCAGTCGTTTTCATATACATATTTGAACAGGTTCTTTCTTTCCTTCGTTCTTTTTCTCTTTAACGAATACTTTCGCTCATTCT